CCTCTTCACCTGCAGGCCAGTGTTCACGCATGTAGCGTACCATCGCCTCTCCAGGTATCGCCCGTCTGCCTAGCAGCGCGTTCAGAGCGTGCGCCCCGCAGAAGCCTTGCTCCTGCGCCTCACAGTATGTTCCAGCTGGCGGTTGGACCCAGCGGTCGTCTTGGCCTCGCGGGGCCCGCCCCCTGCGGAGTCGCGCCAGGCCGCCGCCACGCAGCGCTCCCGGTCCGGCGGGCGGCGTCGCTGGTTGCACATCGGGTTGCTGCTGGGCAGCGTTGCTGATGGTGCGTCCCGCCCCGTTGTGGGCGCCCTCCCCGCAAGTGGGCGGTGCCTGTGTGTTGTGATGATCACCGATTATGTGTGAGCGCGCCGCATCTGCCGGCGAGGGGGCGCCGGGGGTCATGTTGACAAGGGACTGTTGGCATGCTTGGAGGACGCGATACATGCTGTGAGCGCGTGGGATGTGATGGCCGAGCCACGCTGCGTGGTAAGATCCTTTGCGCGGCTGGCGCCAACCCTTGCGGGCTGTGGGCGCGCTGTTTGTGACTTTGCATATTGCTGCGGACAGCGCAGGCTGCTCCCCTTGCGACAGTCGCATGGCTGTGCGCACCGCGTNACAGTGCCTTAGCGCGCACCGCCTCCCGGCTCTTGTTGCGCTTACACATCGGCGTCAGCATGGCCAGCGGTGCTGGCACATAGGGGTGGGCGGGTGCCGACCAGCGAATGGAAGCCTGGCCGCGTGCAGCTGCCTCCTGGAGTATGTGCACTCTTTTCCCCCAAGCGCGGCGCCTTCTCAAGGCAAAAACGGCCGCCGCTGTGCTCCATACTGCTGCGAGGGCTCCCTGGAGGCAGGGCGCGACTGCCATCAGCATTACCGTTGCTGCTGCTGCCATCTCGGGCACCGCCATGTGGGCTATATTTGAGAGTGTTGGGTCGGCCGCCGCCCCTGCAGGGTGCACGATCAGCATTATTATAAGAGTCAGCCACGTCCTGCTGATCTTCCACGCACGCCTCCTGCGGCATTTGTTGTTGCCCCACCTTGCGGCTGCCCACAAAAGCACACCCAGGAGAGCCGCCGTCGCGGTCCCGTCCCTGCCTCTGTTTGTCAACCCAGTGCTGTTTTCTCCCGGCGTGTCCCATTTATGAGTTTGTTGGACAGCATCAGTGCCACTCTGGGTGGGCGCGCAGCGATCTGGCGCACGCGTGAGCTCAGGTGGCAGCGACGTGGCTAGGCTGCACGCAGCAGCTGCTCGTGGCGTTTGGAGAGGAGAGCTCTTGCTACTGGAGGGCACCGTTGTCGTCAGTGTGATCAGTGAATAATTGCTGTCGCAGTTATGCTGCTGCGCGTGGAGTTGATGCGTTGCAGCATGGGCGATCCCAGCCGCTGGACTGCGGCACATGCACCATGGTGTGCTGCGGGTCTCACCAGGGCGGGTGACCCTAGTGAAGTGGTTTGCGTGGCTTATCTCTTTTGGACAGTTGCACGGGCAAGTGTTAATCTTATATAGTATTGATGTTGCCGCGCGCCACCCGGTGATTGTTTCGCGGTCACTCTGGGTGTCGGGGTAGTCGTACTGGGCGCTTGGCAGTCTTAAACTACCAAGACCTAGTGCATCTTCACGCAGCAATGTAGTTTTTGCCGAATCGTGCGTCAGGTGGAGTTTGGCACTACTGCAGCAGTGGCGCTTCACTGCAGCGCGCGTTCTTGTAGGCAGGCGCGCCCGAGCATAGGCCCCGTTCCCTTTCTCTCTTGCCCAGTTGCCCGCGAGGGCTTTTTGGAGGCAGGGCATTCGTGAGTGTGCGGCGCTTGGTGCGGGCCGCTTGGTGTTGTGCCTGGCAGCGGCGCTGCAGTAGACTCGGACGGGGGTGATCGTATTGCTGCATTCATCTTTGAGCAAGCTCGCGGTGTAGCGCGACTGCGTATCGGGGGGTATACGGATGTGCCCTGCGTGCGTTCCATATGTGGTGATGCGACTTGTAAGGCTGCGTTTGGGCACGGTGTGCTCAGGGCGGCCATTGCACTCGTGCGCGTCTGTTGCGGCCGCTCCGAACGCAGCGACTGCGTCTGCTCCATTCGCAAGGCAGGCACCGGGGCCAGACAGCACGGTTTCAATACTTAAGCTCTTGTTCCACCCGGTANGCGGTGGGCGTAGTCTCATATCTCTCCTGGTTGTTCAAACGATTCAAACTTTCTGCGCTCCCGCGCTGCCTTTGATCGTCTATTTCCGGGCTCTGCCGACTCCCGAGGGAGTAATATGTTTCATATTTTGCTCGCCACAAGGGCAACCGCCAAGCCGTTCCCGCGCCGGTCGCCGCGGTGGGAGTGGAAATCTCCTGCCCCCAACGCACGGCTCCCAGGGTGAGTGACCCGCAAAGCAAAAGAATACATACTAACGACGTTCT